GCTGTATTTATTTTTGAAGCAGCCCCCAGAAAATCCCTCCCTAAATACCTTAAGAATGTTACAAGGAGCCAAGATTGTGATGCTTTTTTGTGTTACCCTTGAAATATTGACTTTTTAGTCTTGAAATATTCCTTACAAAAGGAGAACAGCCCTGCAGAGCTTACCTGGCAAGCAATGCTTCAGATGGGGCAAAAGCAAAAGCCTCCTTCTGCTTCATGGCAGCCAGAGGACACATGAGGCCACCAAAAGCAGTATTGAACCAAGACGTGACCTGAATCATCTTATCTTGAGGTCTCAGGAAAGGCAGGTGTCGCTTGCTCAGAGTTGTCACAAATCCCTATTCAGTATTTCAGTTTAGTGCACTTTAAATTGTTCTGATATACAACGGAGCTGGAGGAAAAGTGTTCCCTGGGCAGTCCCAGCTGCTTGTTTTAAAGTAGAATGATTCTGTGCTGCTCATCAGGATGGATCATTAGGAACACTGGGATTCTGCAATGATCACAACCCATCCCGAGATGCTATGGGCATCCTTCAGCTGTAAAATGAGAGCAAGTGGAACCACATGGGGAACATTTCCCTCTAGTCCCACCCACCCTCCAAAAAATAAAAATAAAATAATAAATGAAATAATAATAATAATAATAAAAAACAAACACATTCCAGGAAATACTTTGCTCACTTCTGCTTTGCAGCCACCTCTGTAGCTCAGTGAAGCAGATTAACAGACAGAAGCATCCTGAAACAGCTTTAAATTCAAAAGATTATGAAGGTTTTCAACCACGGTCAGAGGAGAAAACCAGCACTGCAACCCACTCATCTCTAGGGTCGTCCCCGGAGCAATAGTTCAAGATTAGCTCACAGTAACTTGTGCAGCAGCTGAGCTTTCTGGGGTCACAGGAGGAAATTTCAGTCCTTAAGCAGTTGTGCTGCTGCTGGTCAGATGCTTTTAGAGCAATCTGTTCACACATGTGCATTTTTACACACATTCCCTTACCCGTATATTGACTAACAAGAGCACACACTGTCCTTTCTTCCGTCTGGTAACACTGTCACCGCGACTGTAATTCAGCTCCCTGGAAAGGAGGAAGCTTTAACAAAGCGGAGGGAATCAATACCTGACAACTATAATTCTCTGCTCAATAATTACACAGAATTTACACTGCTGAGTAGGCTCCCTCCATTGATTTTTTGCAAAAATATTTACTGCAGCAGGAACGCGGGTGTAAGGCTAAATTTTGAGGCTCTGTCTTTTCAGTGCATTGATTTTAAAATAATACTCGAGGTTTTAATGCCTTCATTCCAAGGCACACCTCTCCACATAGGGCATCTGTGCCTACAGCTTTCCTCTCCCATTTCCATTTTCCATCGCCTTGCTCCAAGAGCCATCAATTCCCAGGCCAGGTGCTCCCTCCACGCTGCAGCCTCTCCAAACAAATCACATTCTTGAGCAACTCCTTCCTGCAGCCAGGAATGAGTCATGTTACACAATGTCCCCAGTCCAACAAGAGAGGAGCAACGTCCCAGGAGCAGCATCCACCCTTCAGACACAGTGAAACCCCCGTGATGCAGTCAGAGGCTGTCAAGAAAATGGGACAAAGGTACAGCTTTAACATCTTAGGTGCAAGCTGCACAAAATGTTGGTGCGTAGCATTTCCTATGGGTTCTTACCAAAGGAATCTATCATTTCTCTTGAAAATAAAAGAGTAAGTTTTTGACCGGAGAACAGAGATTTAGATCAAAACTAGTAAGTCACGCTGGTAGATACAGCTGAAGAGAAGTTCTATTGTTTTCTGCATTTTTCCTCTTAATTAATTTTCCTCTTTTGAATTTCAGCATCTAATTTTCTACATGATGTAAAGAAATGGCGCTTCGATTCAAGAAAAACAAAGGCAGAAGGTCAACACTGCATAAGAAGCCTCACTTCTCCTACCTTTCCCTCTTGAGGATGCTGATGTTAGTAATGTGCCATGAATTTCACAGGAATGACTCATTACCTAATTAATAAAAGATTAATGCTTCCCCCCTCCCCATTTTAAGCTTTCTGCAAGAGGAAGGATTTTCAGAAGCGTTATCAGGGTAACTCCCTGTGGGGAAGGAGCCGTGCGTGGAGGTGCAACACTCGTGGGCTCATTTTGGAGACCTTTTCCCGGGTTCCATGAGATGAGCATTAAAAAGGCTTCTTGAACATTCTAGGGACAGTGGGAGCCCCTCCAAAGCCTTCTTCAAGTTCACGCTTAAATTTTCCCTGAGGTGGGGACATGTTGAAAACACATGATAGACTTTCACAAGAGCAGCAGCAGATCATTAAGGGGAATTAAGCTTGTATTCAGACCATGGGATAATGTATTTACTGCCTTTCTGTGTATTTTGAAAAACAAACAAACAAAAAATGCATGAAGAGGTCCAGTGACTTTTGAGGAAAGGAGCTGAAGTCATTTTTTTTTGCTGTGGCAGAAACACCTACATCCTCCCATTCCCAAGCAGCCCTGCTTGCCAGGAATGGTGATCCCTTGGTGCCAAGCAAGACAACACACTGACAAGGGGCACTCTGAAAACCTGAGATAGGGGCTACTTCATCCTCAAGTACTGCAAAGACACAGTACCCATTTCTACCTTGTCAGGAAGCCAAAAAAAAATTAGCAGCTCCCATTGCCCAAGACCCAAACGGCAGTTCCTTCTTGTATGTTGAGAACCTGGCTTTGTACTTTCACTCCTCTCATTTCAAGGAAGTCTGTTACTCTCACAGACCCCTTTCAACAAAACCACATACTAATGAAACCATTTGTTCTCTTGTCATGCTGCCAGAAACTAGCAAAACATGACAGAAAGCTACCCAGAAGCAATGCAACTGCATTTTGCTTGCTGGTTTTTTGCTACAGCGTTTTAGGGAAAGGCTTAGGAACAACTGGCGCCCAATTCTGAACCACAGGATCCTAAAGATCAAGCTTCTCCCATAAGCAGTAACCTGACCTTAAACGTGAAGGTTGGGAGCTTTCAGTTCCATCCCTCATCAAATGACAAGCTCAGATCTCACAGGAGGGATACAGAGGATGCCAATATATGTTTTTTGATTATTTAGCTGTTAAGGCAGAAGGCAGCCGCAAGTTAGCAAACTCTTCTGGAGCACTGCAGTCCTGGGGAGCACCCAGGAGCAGATCTCCTGCAGGCACCACCGCATCAGTCCTGCTGAGGAACAAGGACTCGCTTTACGAGCGGGTCTCTCTGATTAGCCACGTGAAAGAGCAGCTCTGGACACCATGGATGGGGTGGAGAGGAGTCCGCTGAAGGAACAGGGGGACCAGGATGCATTACCTCCTCAGAGCAAGAAGTTAAAAGTAGGCAGACAGAGGACAGCCTATAAACAAACTGTTCAAGATGCCTTTCTTTCCTTCAATGAGTGGCTGACATGCATTGCACACTGCCAGAGGCCATTGAGGAACCATGGAATGTGAATCAGTGCAAGGAAAGAGAGAACCCTGGGCTGAGGGGTAGCAACGCACATCTCCAAGCTGGCGAGAAGAGAAAGATTGAACATCTTAAAGAGGTTCCCAGGGACCACCAGGAACAGCAGAGCAGACACACAGGTGCAATTCCACATGCTCACCAACATCTCTGCAAACAGCAGCATCTGCCAGGCTGCGCAAGCCGAGGCTCTGCTTCCATGAAAGCTCTGTCCACCGTTTCCAAATGCAGTTTGTTTTTCTCCTCCACTTCTCAAACATCTCCAGTTGATTTAAAAAGCCACTTTCTTTTTGTGGAAACATGAAAGCTCTCCATTATTCAGCACTTATTCCACATGGATGAAGGTCACTGGCCTCCTTAAAGAGCTCCCCCACCGCATGTAACATTAACAACTGTACTGAGATAAAATTAATTTCATTTTCCGAGATCTTCTTTTTCACTCTGAAAGAATTGTGTTGGGAGGGAGAGGGAGAGAGCAGCCATCGTGATTCCCTGTGCTGCCTGGGAGGATTTCTGCCTGCAACACCAGGAGCCAAACCCAACATGGTACTTTTGCTCATCTCTGGGCCGAAAAAGGGCTCTCAGGTGACCTAGTCTGTCCTAGTTAGTGTTAAAGCCCAAACTCCTGTTCTAGCACCTTTCCTACTTAGGAACTCCCATCATTGGTCATCTGCGAACTATAGTGAGACTCAACACAAGCACATTCATGGAATACCTCAAGGAAGGCTTTAAAGAAGTCTTGCCAACTCAGGAGAGCATACTGAGGTGAATTCATGGGTGGGGGGAAAAGGTACTTTGGTCACCAGAAAGAACCCAAAAGGTCCAAATATTGCTGTTGAAAGGAAAAATGGGGAATCACAGAAGAAGCAACAGGAAGGTGTGATGAGATGCCAGCTCCCTCTTCCCCTAGAAAGGGCCACAACTTCCATCCTTTCCCTCCAGTCGCAGGCTAGCCATGAAAACCCGTATTTCTAAGGAAAAGCTAGAGAAAGAAGCTCCATCCTAGGGATTTCAAACACCACAAGAGTGCCAAACCTGCCAGGTGGGACCAAGGCTCCTCATCAGAAAGCAACTCAAGCCCTGCCCACCTTGACCAGGGATGCTCTGCCCCTACTCCAGTTCCCCTCACAACAAGTGCAGCATTCAGAGGCACGCACAAGCCCTTGAGCAGAAAGCTCAGTAACCCTTTCAAAGCTCCATTCATGCTCCTTACGACAGATCCAGGCCACACAGCTGGTCCTGGTACCCCCTCCATACTAGGTTGGCATCAAGCATCCAAACCCATCATCCAGGGAGCATCTGCCCTTCCTGAAGCTCCTTCCTAACGGGGCACAGGCTCAGGGCAGGAGCCCAGATGCCCCTGCACCTCCCCAGCGGCGCCTGCTCGCGGTGCGGGAGCGCCGGGAAGCGGCACGGAGGATGCTCTTGGATGCTCCTCTGCGCAGGGCACTGCGCTCCCGGCTGCTCCTCTCCTCTCTGCGCTGGAGGTTGCGGCCCAGCCTCACACACGCCGGCAAAACTGCTTGTGTAACCACCCGCTAACCCGGATCTGTCAAAGTGATCCATGCCGCCTTTAATGCTTTAAACAATCCATCTTTGCCAAGCGAAGAGGGCTGGCGGCACCACTGCCCGGGCAGTCCTGCCAGGAGAGCTGGTGGATGGGGGATGTCCATCCTCAGCTCACCCATGGCCAAAGCCAAAACCCCCTGCAGGGCACAGAGGCTGAACGCAAGTGCCCCTGAGGAGGAAAGGAAACAAGAACTGGGCAGCAGGGAACAGAAAGGAGAAAGGACCGAGATGGGGAACATAAAAAGTGAAGAGAAGGGAGTGAATCCAGGATAAAGCATAGAAAGAATGAGCAGAGGCATCTGTGATCCTCCCTTTTCCTATGTGTAAAGGGGGAGTAACAACAGACAGCCCTGCTTTTGGCTGCCCTGCCCACATAGTTCACAGCATCAGATGGCATAAGCAGCCCAAAGAGATGCCATCGTTGGTTAGGAAACATATGTCATTCAGAAGCCCTGGAATTAGGTTGACTTTGCAATCCTGCAGCCAGCAGAGGATGAAAATAAGTAAAAAGCCAGTGGGTTAGGAGGCAGGATCTCCCCCTCAGTGCAGCAGGCACAGCTTGCATTTAGCTGCGCTGCACAGCTCAGACTAAAGCTTAAGCCATGATATTAAGGTTCATACGGCTGACAAGATATTGGCATTTGGGCAGACGTCAGCAATTCTTTCAAGCGAGTTATGGATATTGAGGGCTGGGAAGTCAGAAGTATTTCTGCTGTGTAAAATGTGACATGCCAAAATGTTTATTCTATTGCAAATGATGCTCCACATGTCTAAACACCAGGCTTTGCTTGCAACAGAAAAAAAGACACCAGACCCCAAAAACACCCAGACACTGACATCTTGTGCAGTTACACTGCTGCTCCCAGCTTCTTCCACTCATCCCAATCCATGGCCCTTAGCAGGACATTTTGGACTTACCGAGCACCACAAATCCCAATCCTATGCAGCTCAAGTAAGAATAATTATAGGAAAATAGCTACTTTGGCCATTATCACTGTCACAAGCACAGAATTTTACTACTAATGACAAAAATCAGAGGTGAGGCATGACCAGCTCTGTGATTCCTGTTAGATGATCAGCCCACACCCTCAACAATTATTTTAGCCCAATGACCCCCTAAAAACAGCTTCTTGCTTCCCTGAAAGGCACATGGAAGAAGCAGGACAGGAGGAGGAGTTGACTAGGATGGAGCTGGCCATTGCCAAGCTCCGCACGGGAATGCGGCCAATTCCCATGGCACATTGGGATCACTGGCGTCAGTGACTTTGCTTTAATGACCGGGTGAGCTGGGACCCCCGAGGCCAGCGCTGCCCAGCAGAGGTTGCTTTTAACCTTACTGAAAATAACAGGCTTTTTAGCTGCTGGCCAAATATAAAATGTCACTTTCATCCTAATTTTCAAGCCTGGGCACAAACGCTTGTTTTTCAGAAAATGCTCCAGAAAGCCTTTGCATTCTGCACAGATGGATGCAGTCGAGAGCTAGGAAAAAAATCCACCAGAACTGATAAAAGTTGATTCTACCCCTTATAAAATTATATTTATGACTTCATTGAATATAAAATGTTACAATTAAAACTTGTAAAATGAAAGCAGAAGATGATTTTTTAAACAGAGGGGGACAGAGAAAAAGAGAGTGTGTGTGTGCCTATATTATAGCTAGTACTTCTGCTGCATTGAAAGCATGTTAAAATCATTCCCCTATTCAGTGATCAGTATTTGGGTTAAATATTTGTCTTGTTAAGTTCTATTTTTAAATAAGTCATCTCCAATTTGAAGCCAGAAAACACTGAAATGGTTGATGGAAAAGGAGTCAGTGAAACTTCTTTAGGGTTAAGTATGCCCAGCTGTATTAGGAACCCAGAAAAGCAAGAGAGAGAAACTCAGCCCCAGGGATGCTATAGGTCCAAGAAACCCTTTCTTCCCTCTCTACCAAAATTCCCAATGGGGCAGAGGACAGAAGATGAACACATAGTTTCTGTTCCAGGAACTGAGGCTGCATGTGCAAGGGCAGCACAGTGCATTCGTTGCAAGTATGTGGCTGCCAATACCTCCCACTGCACATAAAACTCAGCATCACAGAGGCAGCAAAACTCTACGCCACCCATCCCAGCAGCACGAGGCATGATGAACCTTCCATTGCTAACAACTTTATTCATCTCCCTAGAGGAGCAAGAATAAATAAATAAATAAATTTAATTTCCCTGGAAGTTACTTGGGAAACTATCACTCAGACATAACTTTTTTTTTTTTTTTTTTTTAATAGCCTAGAATTCCCCTGGAGGAAGCAGGGAACCAATTGGCCATAAACAGAGACCTGCTCAGTCCCCAGCTGCACTCCAGCAGGATTGATCACTGTGGTCACTTTTAGGCATCATGGGCATATGCACAGCACAAATGAAGCTGCGCCAGACAAATAACAGGTTGCCCATCCAAAAGGGCTTACGTTAATTATGTTAATCCACTATAGGCAGAGGAGTGATTAAACTATCTCAGCTGCCTGGGATTTGGCTGGTATCCAGGAAGAGCCCGATGCAACTTGCATTTGAAGTGTTTAAGAGGGCTACTCTAACCACTTAACTTCATCCAAAGCCCTGGACCCCGGAGAGAAGACAGCCCATGGCAAAGTTGCAGTCCCTGGACAGAAGCATCTCCAGGTCTTAGAAGATCCTGCCTCTCTCTTGACTGCTATGCCAAGTAACCCAAGGATACCCACCTAGAAACTGAAAATTAGGTAGTAACTGTAATTAAACGCCCAGAAGACTCTTTCAAAGAAGACACAAGAACCACAAGGCAAGTTCTAAATCATAACACCAACCTGTTTTCTATGCACAGGGCAGGAAATATCTCTTAAGAGGAGAGGAAGACTCAACCATGCTGATCCTCACTCCAAACAATCAGGGTGAGATTTGGGCTTCCTCTCCAACAAATCCTTTCTATACAGGACCTCGCCCTTCAGATGCACAGGGAAACCTATTACCTATGATTTAAGTGTCACCTTCAAGTCTCCCATTTCTTCACCTGTAGCAACAGCTGTGAGTGGAACCAGCTGAAGAAGGCTGCAGTTCCCAAGTAGCATAGGCTAGTGCAGCTCAGATACTGGACAGCAGCAGGGGCTCAAACACCCCTCTAGCTCCTGTTGTGGACATGAATCTGGCTCTGTGATTTTTAAACAAATCTCTATCAAATCATATGTCCCAGACCAACAGAAAAGAAGATCTTTCAGGCTGAATCCGCCTTGTGCTATATGTACAGGTCAGGATTAATAAGCCTCTACCTTGGGTTGGAGTGAAGCAGGCTCAGTATTTTCTCCCTCCTTCCCACCAGCCCATTGCAACAAGAACCTGCACAGAAAAGCACAAAGAACAGAAGATTGGGGCCCTGCAGAACCAGGGTCTCAGCCGCTTTGCCCAATCCCCCTGCTTACAGCTGTCACAGCAGCACTGCATCAAGCATTCCTGTTGTCCCCCAAAGGCCCTGGGTGACACGTGGAGTGTCACAGCAGGCTGTGAGCTTGACTCTGCTCCTGCCATTTCAGCACAGCAAGCAGTTATCTCAGCTTTGACCCAGCTGGCAGCAGATCCTCAGCCCTGCAGCCCCAACCATGCTGATTTACTTACACCTGCTGTAATAAGAGCTCTGTTCATTTGCTTGTGCTCCCCGGCAGGATCCAAAGGTTCCTCTTGGGGAAAGGGTGCAACAACCCTGAGTCACTGCTAGCAGGGACCAGGAACTCTGTCCACGCGCAGAGTAACTTTTACAGGCTCTCTTGGCCGTCTACATCATCTCTGGCAAGCAAAACACAGTTGTGTGCTATCTAATATGGCTTCAGAGAGGAGCTGGCAGGAGCAGCAGTGAATCATCTGCTGAACTTTAACTGGTGACAGGGGTAGCAGAGCTCTGCTGGGAGCCGCAATGAACAGGCCCTGGGGCACATCTCCTGGGACGTGGAAGGGAAAAGTCCACTTGGAACAACAAATCCCATCACTGCACTGACAAATGACAGCAAAGCAAGACCTTAAATTTAGGGGGAGCCGTTAAAACAACTTCCGTTCCTTCCCATTGCTCCTCACATCTTTCTCAGATAGAAAAAGTCTCAAAGATACTGCGGAAGAATCAGCAAGTTCAAAATGCTGTCATAACCAAGGATGAGACCTCAATAACCCTTCTTTCGCCACCCTGGGGCAATAGAAAATAACCTTTGGAAAGGTTATTCTCACGTCTGAGAAATGCTCCACTGCTAAGTCTCCTGGTCAGAAAACTGAGGTAGTAACTCATGCATCTACTTCTATGCAGAAAACAGGAAAAACTTGACTAAAGACCATGCCTAAACTCTCAGTCTCACCTGGCAACCAAAATGGGCTGTCGGGCAACTCATTTCTGTCTCAGCATGGGAGATGAGGCAGAAATCTGGCAGGCAAAGGAATGAAGTGCTCCTCATGCAAGAGAGGCAGGAATCGGAGTCAATGAGCCTGGAGGAATCAGATGAAGCACCAGAATAGCACAGAGTCCAGATCGCTTCTACAGAAGTAGAGTTTGCAAATCTGACATTTTGCAGTAAGGTAGAAAACCACATTTGTACAAGCAAGCAAGCCCATCCATCTCTAATACCTACTTTGTGGTGGATAATCTCAATGCAGCCTGCTAAAAACACCAACACACGTGGGTTTCTGCTCTACCTGTCATTTCCAGAACCTCAGTTCCAGCAGGGGTGCTTTTTAATGAGCTCCTGGCAGTTAATTTATTCAATGTTTGCATTTCATTCCAAAAGCTTGACATCCCCAGAATCAAAAGCAGAAATGGTTTCTTTGGATCAGTAAAACAGGGCAAATAGCTTTTATTTTTCACCTTAATCCTAGAAATGGGAGACATAACTGGCCCTCACACAAAGGCAGAAGCACTCCCAGCCATGTGGTCTGGAAGGATTTCTGTTCTGTAGATGCATAATGTCATCCAATTCACAGTTGGAAGTTTTCCAGTTCATACAATGGCCATATGGGACATAAAAAAATGGGAGGGCGGGGGCACACAAAAACAAAACCAGCACTTCCTGCCTCTGACACTTCCACACTTAAAAGTAAAAAATAAATTAAAAAAAAAAAGTAGTAGAATAGGAGTCATTGGTCTTGAAAATAAACTGTTTTTCTTAGGAGCTTCTCCTCAGTGGGCTGT